TATACACATATGTCTCTTTCTCTCGTAGGTTATATAAAAACATATATATATATATATATATATATATATACATATATATATATATATATATATATATATATATATATATATATATATATATCTTCATAATATATATATATATATATATATATATATATATATATATAAGTCTTTATGTAGCTTAATTTGACCACTACATGTTTTATGATTGAAAATAATCATAACTTATGGTATTTTTCCTTTCGCAGCACAGTGCCGGACAAAGTACAGAGCAACATAAATCATCCATCTTTGCTTCCTCTTCGATGCAAAATCACAATGACATCATCTCACCTGCTGATTTCTAACCTCACAAAGGACTGGATTGAAACCATGGAGCGCTGGCAACTCCAACTGTTTTGGATCCCCGCTGTCATCATCACTTTTGCCACATTCATAGCCAACCCCATTCTGCTGGTGTGCATTTTTATGTCCCCTGCTTTGCGTAGGGAGACCCGCTACCTGCTGGTGGCCAACACCCTGGTTGCAGACATAATCTTCCTCATCCTCAACTTGGTCACATTGATTGGGAATGCTGTGAGAGCAGAGATACCCTGGTTAGTTTGTCAGCTGTCCACAGCTCTCCTTGTCACGGCCTCCAGCTGCGCCATCATCACTGTGACTCTCATGGTGATCGACACCTTTACCGCCGTCCGCTGGCCTCTCCAGTACCACAACCTTCTCTCGCCTGCCCGGACCAGCAGCATACTAGGGGTGGTTTGGTTGCTGTGCGCCATTTATCCATTCACCTTGATGATGATGATGATGAAGGATGAGATTCCTAACAACAAAGTCACCATGTGTCTGACTCTCCTCTCCTTCGGTTTCTTTAAGGTCAACAACATGGGGGAGATCGAAATGTACTTTTTTGTATCAGCAGTGATCTGCACTTTTCTAATTTTTTACTGCTACATCCGGCTTTACATGGTGACAAGGACGCAGGGAATTTGGCACAGCCGCTTCTCCAGGGCTCGGGTCACAGTGCTGGTCCATGGTGTTCTGCTGCTGCTCTACTTTGCCCCCGGCTTAGTTTTTGCCTTGGAGATCTACATCTTTCAGGAGAAAAACATGAGTCAGGATCTCCGCGTGTGGATCAGCACGGTCAACGCTAATGTTTTCATGCTGCTTCCCAGAGCATTTGCTCCTTGCCTGTACGGGCTGAGGTACCGAGAGATTTATGAAAGTCTCGCACTTCTGCTACACCGTCACAGAAGAAGCAGAGAAAGCACAGTATCATAAAGACTCTTAAGATCTGCCCACAATTAAGACCTATTATTACCACTGGGTTTGTAGTGGGGGGGGGTATCTGTTTTGTTTGATATGCTCATTGACTGTACATACATAGTGCAATCAGGGCTAGATTTTTGTAATTGGTTGCAGAAAGGTCTGTATTTTACTAAAAAAAAAAAAGAAGTCTAACTTTTGTTTATAAATATATATCAAAAGACACTTTTTGCAACATTAAAGCTGCAGTATGTAACTTTTATATATAAAAGTGTTTTTCACATATCTTTTTTAGCACTATGTCATGCCAGGATAACATCAGACAGATAATCCGTGTGCCATCTGTAGAAATACACTGCTCCCATTCAGAAACAACCAATCAGAGCAATGAGGAGAGTAGATGGCAGATATACGGTGACTGTAACAGGAGGCAGAGGAGCTAGATTTTTTTTTTCACAGAGTATCTTATACTATCTGGACATTGTAATAATTGTAAAAACTTTTTATATGCAGTATATAAGGTCGCAAGTTGCAGTGCACCTACTGCAGCTTCCAATGGTAATGGGATCAGATGAACTAAATCTGGAAATTTTTACTTGTGTTCTGAAAATCAGGGTTGGGATCCTGATTGCTGCCCTGATTTACTTATCCCTAACAGTCCTGCACTGTACACACTTTAGTTTGGAATTGTTTTTCTTTAGGATTAATGTGTTCTCACTCAGTGCTGAAATTTTAAATCGAAATGGAAATGTTGTCAATCTCAGGAAATGTGTTGGTGTGAAATGATCAAATGTTTTCACTGTCGAAAAAGCAGCTGCACTGAAAAAAATAACTCTTTGGATTAACATAAACAAAAATCATGGAAAGTATTTCCACCTGATTACTTTGCTTTGTTTCAGCACTATGCAATTCTGTTACTCCAATTTAATGCAAATGTGTTGGTTCAACTTAATTTATTAAGGTTACTCCAATTTAAAGCAAATGTGTTGGCTCAACTTAACTTTTGAGGTTGATTCAACTCATTTGCTTTAGTTGGACACAATGTAATTTAATAGAGCCAGACCAACGAATTTGCAATGTTTTGGACCAAATAATTGACTTTACTTGATTAAGATGAATGCAAATTTAGTTGAAACCAACTTATTTTACAGTGATACTTTTGCATTACTTAAGTTGATCCAACTCATGAAAATTATGTTAGCTCAACAAACATGCTTCATGCTGAAAGAAAACTATTTAATCGTGTGGAAATTCTTCCCATGATAGAATTACGTTAATTCAAAGACATATTTTTAAGTGCTACTAAATTAAGCGTTTTAAGGCTGCATTGGGTGAGAGGGTAGAAAGAACACCCAACAATTAGAAAGGGTACAACAGAACTGTATTTTCAAAATTGTTATCCATTTTCTTTACCATGTGCAGTGCAGGCACTTTACTACAAAAGGTATAAATTCTTGGCAGATGGCAACCCATTTGAACATCCATTTAAGCTAGTTTCAATTAATAGTTTAAACAAAACCTTTTATGTCAGTGTTTCATTAGTAACAAGAAACTTCAAAATAGTTCAGCCTACCACAGGCACAGATTTTAAATTTACAAGATTCAACGTTTTATTTTAACAAAATGATATACTAAGCATAATATAACAGTCAATAACCCCACAGGAACCTGGATGAAGTCTGCCATGGCATCTGAATCCTGTGGATAATAAGAAAAGTACTAATTTAAAAAAGAATGAAGTGAAGGTTTTGATTTTCTTATGCACAATCTCTGACAAACAGAATTATAATACATACAAGAGACATTGTAGAACTCTCCTCCATCATTGTCAAGGAAAACTGAGAGACCTCCCGGGTTAGCAGGCCTTATGGCAATAACATCTTTGATCTACAAGTAGAAAAAACAATAAAAGTAAGCACAAGCATATTCTGAAGAAACTAAATCACCATCCATCCATTTTCTGTACACCCTTGTCCCTTAATGGGGTCGGCAGGTGCTGGTGCCTATCTCCAGCTAACCTTCTGGGTGAGAGGTGGGGTACACCCTGGACATGTTGCCAGTCTGTCGCAGGGCAACACAGAGACAAACAACCATGCACACACACTCACACCTTGGGCCAATTTAGAGATGCCAATTAACCTGACAGTCATGTTTTTGGACTGTGGAAGGAAACCGGAGAACCCGGAGAGAACCCACCATGCACAGGGAGAACATGCAATCTCCATGCGGAAAGGCCCCAGGCCAAACTAAATCACATTTTTTCAAAATAAGTGGCCTAGAATAATTGTTCACCCTTATTTGTTGTCTGACTAAGACAGGTCAGAATGTTGATGGTTGTACAATTTAAGGAGCAACTGTAATTTTCCAACCTACTTACAAAACACAACTGGTTTTGTCCAGCATGAAGTTTATTTCTACAGGTGTGAAGAAGACTCATGTGCATGTGTGCACATAAACAAAATCACGACAGAATGCTCACCTTTCTGTTAAACTGGTTCAGAATTTTGGGAAATGCTTTGTCAATGAGTCCTCTTCAGCCTTGAATGCAACACGAGAGATCCCACTTTCTACTCTGGCAAACTCTGCAAAAACAGTAACAATCAGAGGCTCTGGAGGAATTTTGCTGATAGACCTTTGACCTTTGCAAAAAACGTCTGCTCATATGTTGCCGAAGTCTAAGAATCTAATGTTTCCAATCAATGAAATCTATTTCTTTATGCAAAGTCAATCTACTCAAGTATAAGTAGCATTACCTAGGTTATTAGGTGCAATTATTGACTTTTTGCTATTATTAATAAAAGTTTTAAAAAAGTACAGTGCCCCCCAAAAATGTTACTCAAGTAAATGTAACCACTACTACCCAGCTCGGAAAATGGATAACCAAACTAGTAGCCTATTCTTGTTAAGCTTAGTGTTAAATTTACCGGTGTGCCGATTGATCGGCCACCGATCATAATCTGCCAATTCCCGTGAAAAAGTGTATGATCGGTGATCGCCGATCACGGTCTCTTGTTGCCGATCACACAAACTGATCACCTGCATCTCATTTCGCAGCTGGTCTCCTTTTCCTTCCTTCACACTGCACAAACGCGTAGCAACAAATCCTAAACGGTGTCGTGGAGAACTATAATGCACAGGGTGAACGGGGAAGTTTGCATGTTGCTGCGGAAAATTACCACGGGGTCGGGGGTGAAGCACGTCAAAATGCATCAACACGACGCAAACAAACATAATTTAAGAATAGGTATTGCCTTTTAGAGTGCGCGTTCCTAGATTTGCACAAACAACTGTAGTTTAATGTAATCTCGCTAGCATCTCGCGTGATCTCCTGATCTCGGTAGACCCTCTTCGGCGGGAGATCACTCTGACTAAACTGAACCACGTTGTCTCAACTTGAATTCATTTTATTAACGCTAGGTTCTTAAATTTTATGTTTATCTGACATGATTTTATCACGTTTGCCTTTGAAACATAAAATTATTTTGTTAAAACATGTTTTGACACAAGCATGGAACAAGCAGAAAATTGAGCAAATGGTAGAGAAAGGCTGATTAATTTCTGACTTGAGTACATAAATTACATAGAAACGTGATATGTGCACAATGCTGTCGCTGTTTTCCCGGCACGCAAAACGATTATCTCGCGTGATCTCGTGTGATTTCCAATGATCTCGCGTGATCGTCCGTGATCTCGCTAGTCGTCTTCAGCACAAGATCAGTCTGACTGAAATGAATCATGTTTTCTGAACATGATTAAATTTCATAAAAGTTAAGTTTTATGAATTCATTTTATAGTTCATAATAATAGCTATTGCCTTTTAGAGTGCAATACCTCTTTTTTATCTTGTTTATCCAACATGATTTTATCACGTTTTCGTTTGAAACATGAAATTATTGTTTTTAAAGTACATGATATTCTTTTGTTAATGTAATAACCCCCTAAGTTCATTTTTTTGAGTGTGACTTCTTATTTCTCAAATTTTTTAGATTGCGGTTAATGAATCTATAATAGTTAAACACACAAAACCAACTTAATATTTTTTAAAGCAGATGTTCCCAAACTGTGGGGCACGCCCCCTAGGGGGTCGCCGTGTCATTGCAGGGGGGCGCGGGAAGCCGTCTGGATGAAAAAAAAACAAAACATGAACACTGTATGCGCTGGGTTTTTACCTTAGAATGGCCAACTCTCTGTTATAACTGTCAATTTGATACAGTAGAGGCTTCCACACTTCCCATATTTGTGTCCTCTGTCACTTTTATCAGCAGTTAAAACTGTTTAATCCGTTGTTAACATGTTGCAACCTGTTTTTCCGAGCCGCCTTTAAACGCAACATGAGCGCTACGACGCTCGCGCTGGGTTTACACCAGTGAAGGAGACCTGCTGCTGCTGTGCGGAGCTACGTAGGTTTGTGTTGGAATCACGGCAGCAAACCAGCAAAACGCAAAAGAACTTTTCACAGTTTTTCCCTCCAAACTAACCGACTGAGTTGAGTAAAGCTGTTGGATGCAGGTAATTTAGCTAAAGATGACTAGCTAATATCAATACAGAACCTTAAGCTTAACAAGTACCTTGTAGGCTATCGATATTGGTGTCTATTTTCAGCTACGTACATTCATTTTGCCTTCAAAAAAGTCGCTTCCCACAACCCCAGTGACACACGTCGTTTCAACCAGACAGCCATTTGTAATCCATAAAGCGGGGTGGGGAGCGCAGAAAATGTTTGGAAACCACTGGGGGGGCCGCAGAAGAAAAAGTTTGGGAACCACTGTTTTAAAAACATCATGTCATGACTAGTATACCCTGTCTTTTTAGTTATAAGAAAAAACATTCAAAGTAGTTTTCAGTTTGACATTTTCCTTAATTAATGACTTCCAGAAACAGCAAGCAGTGGAAAGCTGATATCTTGCTAGTGTTTAACTGCTCAAATTCAATTCAAAAATACTTTCTATATGCCGTAGGAAATTAAATACAATAACAATAATTATTATTACCATTATTATTATTACCATTATTACCATTATTATTATTATTATTATTATTATTATTAGTAGTAGTAGTATTTTAACAAAGACATTTTCAATAATGTCAACTTTGTATTAAAAGTGTCATAATTTACCGAATGACGCTTTATGACAACAGTCATAAATATTCATGAAGACTTATTCATGTTCATGACAGGTGTTATTCACCCACCTTCAAATAAAGTGTTACCGGCTGGGTTTATGTAGCATTTGATTTTTAACATAATATTTATACCTGTATTTTATAAAAAAAAATAGTGGTTGACTTTCGGCATTTATTTTGAAGTATGTTGGTCCTGTTTACAACTATGATTTTCATGTTCAAAAGCTATTTTTTATGTTCCATCTTATAGTAATAACTTAACAAAATTGTTTTTTTGACTTCAAAGACTAGAGTCAAGACTGCTTTACATTTGATTTATAGGTTGAAAATGTGTATAGTAAAATGCAATAAATTATTTGTGATGTACAGAAGATAAACATTAGCAAGCTCAAGAATATGTTTAGCTCTTAATATATAATAGCAAAGGTTAGTTATAAAGACTAGATGACATGTCAATTTATGGTCTTAAATTGCTAAATAAAGTCTGCAAATTGTTTGTCGAAGGCTTTCATTTTTATATCACTTTGGATGAGCTAATTTCAAACAACAATTTAGTTTTGTTTCAAAATTATGTGAAGAATTTATTAAATACATTATCTTTAATATATTTTACACTATAATTAATATATGGTATAGAGTACAGACTTCAGTTTTGGGTTAACAAAATATTGGTAAAGTTGACATAAAAAACTGTTAAATTATGGAAAATATTTTGATGGAAATTCTGCAAAAAAAAGAAGAAAAAAAAATACAGAAAATGTCCTAACTTTCTGCCAGGGTATTTTCAGTTGTTTTTTGTTTTTGTTTTTTCACAGAAGTTCCGTCAGAATTTTTCCGTAATTTAACAGTTTTTTCCCCTGTAATTTAACATATACAAACTGTTAAATTATGTCCCACCACCACTCCAGGTGACATTTCACTCAATGTCTCTCCTTCGCTCCCTCCTTCGTTTCCTCCACCCCCCACCCCTCTAACGATGAGTCAGCCCCCCACCTTCTCTCCTTCTTCTTCAAACCCCTTCTAATTATACTCTAGGCCCCCCAGTACGCCACCGTTCCATCGGCCCCCCATTCTGACTCTTCGGTACGCTCTACCCACTTTGCTCTGACTAACAGTGGATGACTAAAGGTTTCCAGTATTCTCTGATCCGAAACTTGTAAGCACTCTTAAGGCCATAATCATCCGCTCCCGTAAGTTGTGAAGTTCTGGTGAAAAACGCATCCAGTTTTGACGCTTCTGACAACATGTCACTCCATTGGTGAGAAAAAATCCTTTTAACATTGTTAGGCATGAGGACTCAAAGGTCTGTCCAGACTCTGAGCTAGGTCCTGACTCAGAGACAGGTCCTAACTCTGAGGCAGGTCCTGACTCGAAGGCAGGTCTTAACTCTGAGGCAGGTCCTGACTCGGAGATAGGTCCTGTCTTGGAGGCAGGTCCTAACTCAGAGATCTATTCTGACTCGGAGGCAAGTCCTGACTCGGAGACAGGTCCTAACTCTGAGGCAGGTCCTGTCTCGTAGGCAGGTCCTGACTCGGAGACAGGTCCTGTCTCAGAGATCTGTCATGACTCTGAGGCAGGTCTTGTCTCAGATGTCTGTCCTCACTCTGAGACAGGTCCTGACTCGGAGGCAGGTCCTGTCTCGGAGGCAGGTCCTAACTCAAAGATCTGTCCTGACTCGGAGGCAGGTCCTGACTCGGAGACAGGTCCTATCTCTGAGGCAGGTCCTGTCTCGGAGGCAGGTCCTACCTCTGAGGCAGGTCCTGTCTCGGAGGCAGGTCCTGACTCGGAGGCAGGTCCTAACTCTGAGGCAGGTCCTGTCTCGTAGGCAGGTCCTCACTCTGAGACAGGTCCTGACTCGGAGGCGGGTCCTGACTCGGAGGTGGGTCCTGACTCGGAGGCGGGTCCTGACTCGGAGGCGGGTCCTGACTCTGAGACGGGTCCTGACTCGGAGACAGGTCCTGACTTGGA